TCTAGGTATTTCTTAACAGTAGGACAGAGAGTCTCCCTGGCCCACTCAAGAAAAAGTACTCTTGTTACCCAGCCTTTTGTGCTAGATCTCCACATGACCCCCAGCCTATTCTTCATGGCTTTATGTTTTCTGAACAATCCAGGGTTCTCAGAGTGATAAACCAAGAGAGGCTTTGTCCTGAGGTCACCACTCACACTGGTGCATAGCAGTAAGGTTAGTGTATCCTTCAAAAGTCTGTGGCTGGCATTTTCTTCTCTTCTTGGGTAAATTATGTTCTTCTGGGCATTTTCTTCTAGAAAAGGCCAGTTTTATCACAGTAGAAAACTTGAAGAGAGCAAAAGCCTTTTCTCTGTGTCATTGTTTCAAAGTGGGGGATGCAAATTTCAACAGCTCTTTTATCAGCCTGGCTGCTTTATCAAACCTAGTCATGCTATCAATCCCAGTTCTCATTTTAAAATTGTGAAATCACCTCTTACTGGCACAAACTGTTTCATTATTATCACTAACTGACGGGTTATCCTTTATGAGAACTACATTTGTAGCTCTAGCTGTTTAACAAATTATAGCTTTAGGCTATAACCTGCCACCTGCCTTTTGTTTATCCACACTAGTAACAGCCTTTCTATCTCATCTAACACGGTTGATTGTGACTTAGTAACCTGAGTAACATCTTTAGCAACACTAGCTTCCTTATACAGATCTTTTCTCTATCAGACCATCAAGCAGGGGCTGGGGATTTAGCTCAGCGGCACAGGGCATGCCTAGCAAGCGCGAGGTCGTGAGTTTGATTCCTTGTACTGGAAAAAAGCCAAAAAAAAAAAAAAAAGATCATCAAGCATTGGATTTAAACATGTACGTATTAGCGAGATTGGTCACATGAACGGCAGTCTCATATTTCTCTACAATTTCCTCATTTTGTATTGTGATTTATCTTTCCTTCCTTCCTTAGCTTCTTTTCTAGATTTTTGGGGATCATTTTGATAGCAGTAATTGTAACGATTATATAAGGCACTGACCGAATCACACCCCCAGATTGAGCATCTGGGCTCAGATTGATGCTTACTTATGCTTACATATGCTTTTTTGCCATCATGACTCTTTGTTGGGCTGAGGATACAGCTCAGTGGCACAGCAACTGCCTGGCAAGTGCAAGGTGCTGAGTTTGATCATACCAAAAAAAGAAAAAAAAGAATAACAGGTAGTCTTTGTTTACAGCTGCACGAGTGGTTGGTATTTGGGGCGTAACTCAAGACTTTGGTCACAAGTTAAACCTAAAATTCCAGTTGTAACCCAAGTTGCTCTTATGTGAGCTGGTTGTAATTTGGAGGTCCACTGTATTTCTTGCTCCCATCACATGGCCATGATGGGTTGGAGGGAGTGGGTGTGGCTTCTTATCAACCCAGGATCCAGACTGATATAGCAGCCACCACAGTGAATTTTGCAGTTTCCATGCCAGAGGAAGAGAGAATATTGGAAAGCCCCACACCAGTCCTTGGAGGGACACATTAGTTCTGTTCAAAATTCATTGACCAGAATATGCATGCTGTGGACTTTAGTTGATAATAATAGATTGAGCCTAGCACACTGGTATAAGCCTGTCACCCAGCTAATTTGGAGACTCAGGCAGAGGATCATGAATTTGAGGCCAACCTGAGCAACTTAGTGAGACTGCCTCAAAATAAAGAAATAAATTTTTAAAAAGGCATAGCTGGGCATGGTGATGCATGCCTATAATCTCTGCACTCATGAGGCTGAGGCAGGAGGATCACTTTGAGTTCTAGGCCAGGCTGCACTACATAGTGAGTTCAAGGCCAGTCTGAACTACAAAGTAAGACCCTGTCTCAAGAAGAAGAAAGCCAGGCATGGTGGTGCACGCCTA